TGCGCTTATCCATTTTACTTGAAAATAGATAAATAAATGCTTTTAGATGTTGGAACCAACATCCGCACTCTCAGAAAACGCGAATCATTCATCAGATCCGAATTCAGCACGTAAATCAATGCATATTCTGGATTCAATTGGTGGTGTGAACACATAGACTTGTTCAATTCGATGAAGACCGATCGTTCTTCATTCGCAGAATCATTATTTACTTGGTGTTCATGCATCATTCGTAGCAAGTTGTCTCTGTCGTGATATCCGTTGCATCAAACGCTTCTTTCCTTTATCCAGTTGATCTGAATTTTAGTCATACGATGTAAAAGGACTCTCGGCGATGGTCAGCTGTTCACACGTTCATTCTTAATACCTATTGAAATAACATTTGTCAATATTGAGACAGTATTTCATGTCAACGTTCAGCTGTCTCAATTCGTTTGTACAGTTGTTTCTCTTGCTAACACTCATTCTTTTTTATTCGTATTGATCACAAAGAATAACTTGAAAAATTATCTAACGTCATATAATTCCGGGTCATTACGATTCAATGAATCTCTTTCATCGTTTTCATTACATGTTGTGTTTGTTTTATTTTTTTGCAAATACATAGTTTTAGATTCGTATGAACACAATTTAAACTGATCAACATGTTCATTGTGATAAAAATGAGCAATGAGCAAATACGTTTTCGGCCATTGCTCAACGTTTGGTACAAATTCATATTCAGTTCATCGCTCATTTCCTCCAATTCTTTGAACCTTACCCATCATTTTTATTCGGAAGGAGAGGGTAGTCGTAGTAACGTCTTTCAAATTTTCTTACCTCTCCTTCACTAGGTCAGTTATTTGCGAAAAAATAATCCGAATTTTCTACGTTGAAATTTTTTCTGTTGCATCGTTAAAATGGAAAAATCTTTGAGTTTTCTTCAAGTGTAATTTGAAGCGTATTTTTATAGAAGTGATGGTTCCCTTGTGGACACCATCAGAGGAATTCTCTCATATTTTGCATATTTCTGTGTGTGGATCTGGTTTAAGATGATATTCCTCAAATAGGTACTGTACATCTTAATGAGTATCCTTCTGCATTTCGCATTTGCGTATTTCTGTTATGTTTTCATATACAACTGTTAAATGTTTTCAGTTATTTTCGATATTGTTGAATCTTCGCGAGTCCATCGTTAAAAAGAAAATTCTCATCTGACAGAACCGTCCAGCAAGTTAGAATGACCATTCTGATGCACTCATTTGTATTGCGTTGAAAGTTCAAAATGTTATATTTTTTGCTCATACATACACTTAGCATGTCTTGTCACTTTCGTTATATTCTCTTTGTTATCTCACAAAATCTTGTTTATCGCATCGAAATGGAATAACTATATTTACTGATCTGAATAGATCGTTGTTGTCTACCGTATTTATGCGTAAAAGCATAATAATTACAGAGAATAATTTATTTTCGTCTGTTTATTCTTCTGTCTTTTCTAAATCAATTCTGTTGATATTTGGTCACAACTGAGAAACAGAAATTCGTTGTTACAAAGGGCTTTTGATCGAAGAAATTCGTCAGTTATGTTACGGTCTAATATCGGTTTTAGTATTCATAATAATTGTTTGGTTGTTGATATCCACAAATATTCACTGGAAAGGATGCCAGCTTACGGTTTACAGTTATCCTGAGACATTTTGTAATAATAGGTTGTGTTATAGGTTAGTGAATGTGATATTGAGTAATCAGTCAGTTATTTTTTCAAATTATTCATAATTGTTTGGAACTATTTAAAGATTCTGTTGTTCAAATCTAATCGCATTCATCATTCATTGACAGATTAAATGAATTGATTAAATGAATCGCTATGATTAACGCATAATTTAATAAATGAATAATTGATAACGTTGCAACTGTTTTGCATATGCATTAATTTGAATATGATTTCTCTATAAAACTGGAGCTGAAGGAGTACAGGTTCATTTCTATGATATGTTCTAACGGTGTGTGGTGGTGATGAATCCTGGCGATGAAACGAATGGTATTCTTCGCCGATTTTATAAGCGATGGAGAAGGAAAACTGATAATAAATTGTTGAGTTTTTACTTATCTGCTTATTTGGAATAGCTTTAGAATACTGCAGACTTCGAGTGCTTTGGAAATCTGTTTCGGAAGTAACCACCGATTTTGTGGACACAAATAGTTGCTGAACTGTTCAGTTGTCAGCAAAATACAGTACTAAGCGGGAGAAACATCGTGCACGATGCACTCTTCGAGTAGACGTTCTGAACAGATATTTCATTGCAAGGTCTCTAGATATACCTTTTTATAGTGTCTTTAATGGGCAACACTTCTCACGAATGCATGGTTCATTACGAGACGATGCGAACGGCTCGTGAGGTTGTAATGAACTAATTCTTGAAAGGATTGCAGAGAAGTAGAAGACCCTGACATATCGTTCAGTGATGTGGTTCGCACGGTAGCTTGTTCGGGAAATGTCATCAAATGTGGCTACTTAACAAAAAAACGTTGGAAAATTGGTAGATCGCAGAGATATTTCGTGTTGCGTGATGATGCTAAATTATATTATTACAAAACACAAAATGACTCGAATGCAGTGCAGAAATGTGTTGGTGTTGTACAGCTGAAAGTTAGTTTTGCTTATGTGCAATCGATGAATGCTCCAATTTGACTGAACCTCAACTCTCGAAGTTTAATCCGTTTTCTGCATTTAATTACCACTAAGAATGTCTACAGTGGACAAACTGCTCGAATTACTAAGGACAGAAGCATCTTACAGTTGCGTATATTATATAATATATATTATATACAATATATTACACAAAATATTTTCATTTCTTCGATACATATAATATATTTTCGCTTCTTCAGTGAATTGAAATGAGCCTATGCATTGGCAATTCATTTCATTTAGAAAGATGATATATAAATGGAATTTAAAATTCATCTTGCAAATTTAGGATGTTTATATAATACCTCATGGCTGGAGAGTATTCAGCATTCACTCAAACAATGGTGTTTGGACGTTAAGAGCGCGAACCACCGAGGAAAGAAACGATTGGATGAAGAAGTTAAAGTTCGCTAGGTTGGTTCCATAGAAGCCGCAGAATGAATCTGAAAGAAAAAGAGTCAGGCAACATTGCGAATTGCGTTTTTTTAGCAGAAACTTAATGACTCTGACACAAGATGAATTAATGTGTGAAGATGGATGTTGTGCGCATTGAAGGGCATGCATGCAAGCAAAAGAAGACAACGAACTGACACAATTGAAGTCCACAAATGAAAACGGATCGTTTATGAAATCAGTAGATGCTTCGAATATATTACCTGATCTTGATAAGCAAGTGAAAGAGCTGCTTAAGTGTGCTGCTATGGTTTGTTTAAAGCACCCTTTCGGAACTTATCTCGATACCTTTTCCAGTAAGTTTCCAAGTTACAGCCACACTGAACTGCTGATATTGTTAACATCAGGCAACTTGTTACACAAACGTGCTTTTAAATCTCATAATCAGTTTGGTTGCAGCTGACAGTTCGTAATGCTGAAATAACGAGTTCTGAGGGAGATCAATCGAACGGAAAGAGTCCGAAAGTAAAGGAACGAGTAAAAGATTTATCATTGAGCATGTCAATAAATTTTAAAAGTTTCAAACATGCTGCGAGAAGGTGTCTGCTTCATTTGAGATTGACGTCCTCGCTATAGTTAAGATTGCTCGAATCGGGTGTGTTTCAGTCACTTGTAAGCCTAATTGTAAGCGTAAGTTTGAGTCGAAACCGACTGTATTTCGAGCAGATGAAGCTGAAATACACATGTTTGCAATCGACTTTAAATCGCATAGGTAACGTGGATTGACAATAGTCCATCCCGAGTATCTTCCCTGTCTTTCACCCATGCAACGTTGCTCATGCGTTCCCCATCACTGATTCTTATTCC